CCCGCTGTCACAGCCCCGCAGCAGCCCTCCCAGGACTTCCCGCCCTTCTCAGGGCACCCCGGCTCCTGCCTGAGCCACTCGTGTGGGCTGACCCCTCCTGCACCTTGTCCCCTGGCTGCGAGGGCCCCGGGGCCTGGGAAGCGAGTACTCCACGGGATGCTGGCTTGTTTACACGTTCAGGTCTGGCACGCCAGGGGCCTGCTCTCCAGGACTTCTCCCACCCCTCGTGCTAAGTCAGCCTCCAAAGACCAGGGCCCCCGGCTCCGCTTCCTTCCTAGGACCCAACGCTCAGGAAGTAGCTCCTTGGCTCAATCTACTCACTTGGCTGTGGTCCACCACATGCCCCTGCCCTGCCCCAACCGGGCGTGAGATCAGGAAACGTAGGGGCTCCAGAGCCCAGAGCCCACCGCCACCGGTCACACACTGTGGTGCTGTCCCTCTGCCCTGGACGGGGCACACACAGCCTTCCTTGGCTCTGCCTGGGGCAGAGCAGCCCCTCCGCTCATCAGAGGTGGCGTGCCGAGCCTGGGACCCGACAGACCTCGCCCCACACACCTTCCACCTTCATGATCTGGTACGTGTCCTGGACCACCTTGTACTTGGGCTCGTTCCGGAAGGCGTGCGCCCAGGCCTGGATCAGACACAGAATCTTGTTTCGGACGTTTACTTCCACCTGCCTCTGCGCAGAAAAGAAGAAGAAGGACAGTGCGAATGGTGGCAGGAGACATGAGCCCCAGCGACGCCTGTGTGAGAAGTGGCAGGAAGACTGCGCCACTCTGAGTGTGCAGGGAGGCAGAGGCGGGGACGGTGCCATGCCCTGCATGGGACACTGGGGCCAGGTATGGACCCACTCCCTAGGCCCAGCCCTCCGCCATGAAGCCCCGTCCCCAAGGACAAACTCATCACAGCACTGTGCCCACTCAGGGCCTGACTCTTCCTTAATGCCCTGGGTAAAGCTGGGGAGTCCCCGAAGCCTGGCTCCCCAGGCCCACTACCCTATAACCACCTGTTTCTTCCTGTCCTGCCCCTAGGAGCTTGGCTGTTAGGGGCCCGAGTCTGAAAACCAGTGTGGCTCCCGGAAATGCCAGGCTCCACCAGGCAGTGCCCACCAGCCCCGCACTGAGGAAGCAGATGTGAAGCCGGCCGCCTCTCCTCTGCTCGCGGCCAGCCTGGGGGGTGGGGGACGGGCACCCCAGGAGCTGCCCCACGCGCAGAGCCACCACTTCCGCCAGCTGTGCACACCATCGGTCACGTTCCTAGAGCTCTCCAGGGTACGCTCAGGAACACAGCAGCAGAAAGCCGCTCCTGGGGATGCCAACCACATTCACCCACTAGGTTTCTAGTGATTCCTTGTAATCTGCACCTGTCAGTAGGTCCCTTTCCTACCGGGACCCTCCCTTTCTCCACGGGGGCACTAACGGGCTCAGACCAACCCTTCTGCTCTTTCAGCCACAGCAAGGACTGGCTGGGTCACTAGTTGGGGCCCAGCTCAGGTCCCAGATGGGCTCTCGGCCACGTGAGGCCATGGGCACCCATACGGGCCAGGAAGCAAGAGGCCCTGCCCACCAACGGTAGTAGAGACAGTGTCCAGGGTATGCTCTTTGGCCACTGCCCATCACCTCACCCCTGTGGGACACGTGCACCCCATACTGCCCCCTCTGCATCACACAACCCGCCACTGTCACCACCCACATCACAATCCCTGCAGGTGGGCAGCGGCGGCCTGTGCGCATTCTCTCTTGCGGCTCTGGAGACCCGTCCCTCCCCTACAAATGGAGGGTGTGAGACCCACTCCCAAAGTGTCTCTGCTGTGCCGCATCCCCTAACCTCCCAGTATAGACATGTCAGACACGCACACCTCCCTGCTTGGAATCTGGGTGGGACTCCCCCAGGTGCCATTTGGGGCTCCCCCCAGGCCTCTGCCCGCACACCGCGCTCACAGCCGCGCGTACACACACACACACACACACACACACACACACACAGCTCCTTCCCCTCCTCCTCCACCACCCAGCGAGGCTCCGAGCCCTGCCCCTGGGAAGACGCTCCTGATTCCCCCCAGGAAGAGCGGGGTCTCCCCTGCGTCCCCAGACACAGCGGCCACGTGCGCTTCCAGTAAAGCCCCAACGTCATCAAGCTGGGGTTCCCCTGGTGCGGGGACCACCAACGCTCGCCTTCCTGTCCCAGGTTCTGCCTGGCCCTGCCGCTGCCCCAGGTGCTGGCCAAGCCCCAGAGGCACGGGCGCGGCCTCGGGTAAGCGGGCGCCCCCACGCCGCCAGGGCCCACCTTCAGCAGCTCCTTCAGCTCCTCCATCGTCTGCTTGTTGGCCACCTCGTCATGGACCGTCTGGCCACAGTTCTTCACCACAGACTCCATGACCTGGGGGACCCGAGGGAGGGCAGGCTCGAGCCACCGCTTGGGCCAGGGACAGCTGCCTCGGACAGGCCCACCTCCCAAGGAGAAGACAGGCCCCTCGGGTGACTGAGCCCACCAGAAGAGTCCCCGTGGCAGCTCCAGGTCAGGCGGTAAGCGACGCTACACGTGCTCCTTCTGACTCAGTTTTGTACCCCCGGGGCAGAGATGAGAATCCACCTTAGCGCCCTATGTCTGCCAGCTTCAGCTGGGGTGGGCAAGGCACTGCCCTCCGTTAGGGCCGCTCCGACCTGCCCTCACACCCCAGGCAGACGGGTGAGGCCCCAGGGTCAAGCGGTTCCTGCCCTCTAGAGACTGGGGTGGCGACTCTGGAGGGGGCCAGCATGCGGGGGTCAAGTTACCTCCAGGGCGTACAAGGCCACGTGAGGATTCTTGTCGTTGACTTTCTTTTTGATGGAACTCACGGCATATTTGGCTCTGAAAGAGAGTGTTGGTAAAAGAGAAGAAAGAAAAGAAAAACCACTTAGAAGCTAAGTTGAAAAAACCTCCCATCCTTTGATCTTCAAAATCCCCAAGCAAATGTCAAGCACCTGCAGGCAGTACAGAGAAAACCCTTCCCTTGTCCCCAGATCCCCAAAACCCCAGCGTGGAGACCGCGCGATTCTCCACCTAAGGCCTGGCGTCCTCGACATCCACCACGGCAGGACGCGGCGGGATCGCTGAGCATCAGCGCGTACCAAGGGAGCCGGGAGCACCATGCTGCCGCCCCTCCTGCTTCTGAGCAGGAACAGACCCTCCTCACTTACTGTGTGTCCCCCTGGCGGATGAGGTCACAGATCTGGAGGATGGACTCCCAGTCGGTCTCCAGCAGAAGCTGGCTGGTGGCTTTGTCTACGGCAAAATCACACCGTCACCGGGGCTTATCCTCTGTGATTCCCTGGCCGGCCCCACCGCTCAGCAACAGAGAGAAAGAACCACCTGCTTCCCAATTAAAACATTTAGACGGAATGGAAAACCACATGAAAATCCTCTTGACGCCCGATAATCATGAGTGCTCTCCTTCCAAGGAACAAGGCAAACAGCTTAGGAAACGCTACCAGCACACCTGCTGCGCACCTGATGCAAACACTTCCGTGATCCCAGAGTTCCCACACCGCCTCCTGAGCACCGTCCTATCTCCGCTGTCTTTACCCACAAACACAAGGAAGCCAAGAACGGAGGTCACTGCCTGAAGTCACCCCGTTTGCCAGTCTGAGCCAGGCCTTCACACGACACTCCGCCGCCTCAAGCCCCAGTCCCCCGCTTCCCCACGTTGAACCTGCCCGATGAGATCGGAGCTGGGGCCAGGATGGAGCCAGGACTGGCCTCTGGGAAGTATTTTTCTGCTAACACCTGTACGCTCTGCCCATCACAGCTGCCTCACGCGCGCACATGCTCTGCTCCCCCTGCCCTGCTGCTCTCCTCCCTGGACACGGGGGGCGGGGCGGGGGGTGGCTAATAAGGTGCGTGCACACGCAGCTCTGATCCGATAGTGACTTCTGGACTGAGCTTTGGAGGAGAACCACCCCTCAGCCTGCATGTTCTCAGAACAAGAAAGGTGCCTCATCTGAGGTCTCCTCCAAGGCCACGTCCAAGGAAAAACGCAGGCTCTGGCCCACTGCCGAGCACCCAGGACACCCACCCCAACAGAGCCCACCCAGTTTCACGTGCCCCCAAACATCTATTTCCTTTGGCTAAAACTGATGACCTTCAAGATGCTCAGAGAGGATCGGCTGTCCACCCCTGACAGAGGCCTCCCGGGAGCCCGGCGGGGACAGACAGGGCTGGCCTGCCTCCCAGGGAAGCAGCGCTCTAAGAGCGCGGCGGGTCCCGGGAGGACACTACCGGCTCCACCCTTCGGAGCCCGATGTTTGGGGCACCCTCGGTTCCCCTGCAACCTAGGATCTGGGGGGAGGGGGTCTATCGGACTCGGTCGCCCGTTTCCATGACTCAGGACTCGTGGCCCGTTCAGTCAGATGCCCGAGGGCCCCGGGACCGATCATTTCCCCGGGGCCCTGACCGCCCCTGCCCAGGAGCGGAGCCCCGAGCACAGTCGCCGCGAACGAGGGCCCAGCCTCCTCCGCGGATCCTCACACACTCGGGTCGCAGCCCGCGCCCAGCGCCCTGGATGGCCGGGTCCCCGCACCGCCGGCGCGCCCACCCACACCCCGGGGGCCCGGGTCGCTCGGCGGCTGTCCCCGGGCTCCGCTCCCGGGATGCTCTCCAGCCTCGAGGAGCGGAGGCCGCGTTACCTAGGAGACGCTCGAAGGTGCCGCTGCCGCGCCCCATGGCGACCCTGGACCCCGACCCGACGCCGCTGCGCTCTCCGCTGCGAACCGGCGCGCCCCCGACTTCCGCTTCCGCCTTTTCCCTCGGGCGCGCGCACACGCGCGTCACCAGGGCGGGCCGCCGCGAGCCGCGAGCCGGGAGCCGCGAGGAGGCGGGCTTTTCTACTGGCCCCAGACGCAGTGCGCCGATTGAGCGCCGAGAACCAATGAACAGCTCGGACGTGAGGCTAGCCAATGAGAGCGGGGTGGAGGGCGGGACTTGTGCCGAGCTACGGCGGCCGGCTGGGGTCGGCGGCCGTGATGTGTCTGCTGCTGGGGCCCTCGGGCGTCGGGAAGACGCTGTTGGTGAAAAGGCTGCTGACTATCCTTCCGGGGCCGGCGGGCGCGGGGCCGGGCGGCTGGTGCGGGCGTCGGGTGCTCCCGGGGGCGCGGGGACGGGGCCCGGGGGGCGGCCGCCGCCCGCCTTCCCCTCCCAGCTCGGGATCCTTGACTGTCCGCACAGCTGAGCTCCGGGGATGGAAAGGGCGACCTGGGCGACCCGCCGCCGACGCGGCCCACGGTAGGCCTCCGCGCGGGGTACGCGCGGCAAAGCGCGTCGGGCGGGTTTCAGGGGAAGCTGGAGCCCGGCGGTCCGCGCGCTAACGCGGCTGTCGCGGAGTGGGGCGTCCTGCCTCCCGGGGCAGGGCTGCGGCGTACGTGGGTGGGCGCATGGCGGGGCCCCGAGCGCCCGCCCCGCGCCCCTGGTCGCACTGCTTTCCCTGCGCGCCCCAGAGGCGACCCGCACGGATGGGGGTCGGAGCTGTGGCCGCAGCCCGCTCTGGGGCTTCGGGCCTGGACCTCTGGAAGCCGCTTCGGCCTTGCTGGCTGGGGGCTGTGCTCCAGGGTCTCGGCTCTCGAGAACGGGCACCGTGGGGTTCGGATCCGCGTGGAGGGCGGCGCGCGCTCCTCCCCAGGAGTTCCCAGTGGGGAAGCGCTTGTGTCCGTCGTGCTCCGGGGTTTTTCCACAGGTGGGCACCGACCTGACGGACATCGTGGTGCCGAGAAGGATCACCGTTCGGGAGCTGGGGGGCTGCATGGGACCCATCTGGCCCAGCTACTACGGAAGTTGCCGTTGTCTCCTGGTAGGTCACGACCCCCAGAACTTGTTCAGCCACGGGCCGGTGCTGGACCGCACTCCCCACCCGCTGGAGTTTGGGTTCCCGGCAGTTGTGCTGGTCGCCGGCTTCCTTTTGGAAATCCAGCTGGACCCCTAGCGCCCTGTCCCAGAGGTGACCTGTCAGCCCACGTGGGGCTTGCCGGCAGCAGGGTTCCTTCTCTGCTGGGAACGAGCTTGCTCTCTGCACCGCTCCCCTGCCTGTGTTTTGTGTGCTTGATCTCTACATGCCCCGTCCCACCCTAGCAAGGCCTGTGCCCCAGATCCCTGGGCCCTGCCTGGGAGAACCGATGCCACATAAGTAGAGAGAGTCCCGTACGGGCGGAAACAAGTGGCCACGGGTCACTCTCGGGCAGCTCGTTTCTCTTTACCTCCACTGACCCCAGAGCCCTTTGTTTAAAGTCATTTTGGTTTTCTGAGCCAGATTATGACGCTCAAGGAAGAGATTCGGGAAGGACTGTCTCCCTCACGGGGTGGCCCCGGTCTGCATTTTTTCTTCCCTAGTTCGTGATGGATGCCGCTAACCCCACTCAGCTGTCTGCGTCCTGCGTGCAGCTCCTGGGTCTCCTTTCTGCAGAAGGACTCGCAGAAGCATCGGTCTTGATACTCTTCAATAAGATGTACGGGTCTGTCGTCCTGGAGAGCGTTGGGGTGCCCCCGTGAGGAGGTCCCTCGGAGCATGGCCAGGAGGGTGGCTCATGGAGGGGGCGTTTAATGCAGCGGGGGTTGGGATGGGCCTGGGTAGCTCACCTGGACAGGGCGCTTATTCTGCTCTAGTGATCTGCCCTGTTACATGACTGTGGAGGAGATGAAGTCCTTGATGAGGCTCCCAGACATCATTGCTTCCGCCAGGCAGAACGTCAGCACGGTGGAGATCAGCGCCCGCAGGGGCACTGGCTTGCCGGCAGTGCTGCGCTGGCTCCAGGACGCCCACCGAGCCGACGGCTGACCCGCTGCCAGGAGTAGCGCCACTGGCTGGCCCTGGGGAGGAGGCTGAGAACAGCTCTGCTTGGCCTCCCGCAATCTGTTCTTACAGGGACAGGATGGCCCCACAGAAGCCTAGGGGATGGACTTCTGGCCCGAGTTGCAGTGCTGTGTAAACGGAGGAACCCCGGTTCCAGAAACTCTAGACAGCTGGCCTCTGAAAGAGATCGTCCCCAGGGCTGGAAGGCGGACAGGGTGTCCTATGCCCGTGCTGGGCTGACGCTACTGGGGTGGATTCCCTTTCCCAGAGGTGTCTGGACTGCACAGCCCCACAAACACGGTCTCTTAATGTGGTACAGGCTGTACCTGCTGAGTCTGTGACAGGCTGACAACACGGCCCCACTGTACGAGGCAGTCGTCAGGAAGGTCTGAGCGCGGTCAGGATGAGAACGGTGTTTCACTGGTTCCTCTGCTCAGTGCACGGTCGGCCGTCGCGGAGGAGGGCGCAGTGGTCCTGCAGGTAGGCAAGGGTGGGGGGCAGCTCTGATAGGTCGTAGGAGGTCCTGGCAAGCTCGTCCTAATTCCCACCGAGGGGGCTTCAGGAAAACAAGGATGTATTCGTGTTGTGGGGCCTCCGTCACAAATTGCCACAAACTTGGTGGCTTAAAACCACCCAAATTTACACTCACAGTCCTGGAGGTCAGACACTGATCGCAGGTTGGTTCCTTCTGGAGGCTCTGAAGGAGAATGCGTTCCTCGCTTCTCCTCTGGCCTCCAGCAGCTGCCGGCCATTCTCCATATAACTCGGCTTGGGACTTGCAGAGCTGGAATCCCTGCCTCTGTCTTCATGTGCTCTTTTCTCCTTAGAGGGACACCGGTCACTGGATTTAGGGTTCAGTCTAAATCTAGGATGATCTTGAGATCCGTACTTACATCTGTAAAGACTTTTTTTGGAAACACTGTCGCGCCCCCTGCTGCCAGGGCTCCAGGGAGAGGTGCTGGGCCGCTGCGGTTGGTTGAGAAACCCTCTCCTCCTGGGTGTGGTGGTGCGTTTTCTACCAATGGCTTTCTCTGTCCCAGCTGACAGTGGAGGCCAGCTGGGCTGTGGAGGAGCCCCGTCGTGCAGAGCAGAGTGGTGGCCTGGGCCCCACCAGGGCGAGGGCGGTCTCTAGTCGACCGCGTTGCTGGGGGCAGGGGTGTTGTGTGCGGGGGCTGCAGACAATACCTCAGAGGAGCTCTGGCAGAGACCGCCGGGCTGCCAGTCCCCCTGCCACCGCGTGGAAGCACTCCTCTCGGGGAAGGTCTGCTACTGCTGCGCGCTCCTGTCACTGCCCTCCGAGTCACACCACACAGCCGCCGATGGCAGTGGCCTCCCCCACGCAGTCCTCGTGGATTTGTTTGGTACCCAGCCTAACTGGCCGTCTACCCCCCTTCAGACAACTTAAGCACAGCACATGCTCAGGAGACAAGCACCTGGCTCCACCTCCAGGGGTGACCCCAAGCTGGGGTCCATCTCTGACTTGGGCCTGGTGGCCATGATAAAGCCAGCCTGGGCAGAGTTGGTGAGTTCTTGGGACACCGACAGGCCCGAGGTGACTGCACCCTGTGGGTGAGCTGAACCTGGTTTTGAAAGGCAAACCTCCAGCCACAACCCATTTCCACCTTCTTGCTTTCATGCCACACTTGGCGATGGGTCCAGGAGCATGGGTGTCTCTCAGGGACCATGTTCACTCCTGGCCTTGCCACCCTGCCCACGTCCTGGGATCCTAGCACGGGAAGGGTGCCAGGCACTGAGGGAGCGGTCTCGCTGCCCGCCCCACTGCCACCCGTGACCTGCTGCCACAGTGGAGCCAGTGCTCCTGGGTACCCGATGTCGGGACGAGGCCCATGCCGCACGCAAACAGCCCTGAGACACTAGCCCTGCTCACAAACACCACTTCAACGCAGAAAGCTTTTGTTTTTTGTTTTTAAGATTTTGACAGAGATCCCAAGTAGGCAAAGAGGCAGGCAGAGAGACGGGAGGGTTAGAGAAGCAAGGATCCCCGCCGAGCAGAGAGCCTGATGCGGGGCTCGATCCCAGGATCCTGAGACCATGACCTGAGCCAAAGGTAGAAGTTTTAACCCACTGAGCCACCCAGGCACCCCAACTCAGAAGGTTTTAATTTGAAAAAACCCAGAAAACAACTACAAAACGTTATAAACGATGCAAACGGGGAAAAACAAAGGATCCTACAGAAGCACACTACCCCACATTCTGTAGGGCCACCCTGGCCAAGCCTGAGACGGGGCTGTTCCCGAGCTGTTCAAGCCCGAAGAAGGGGACCAGTGCTGTCCTCACAAGGACGTGGGCAGTAGGACTCCCCCTTTGCGTTCGACTGCCGAGAGGCCTCAGTGCCGTGCAGCTGAGCACGCTGACAACATCTGGGCATCCCCTCCTTAGGTTCTGGTGGAAGGTTCAAACCTTGCCAGGCCCTGCTGTTGGCAGGAATTCCCCCCATAGCCCTTTTAGCCATGGGAAGGTCCTAGGCCAGGGTCCTGTCCTTGCCCTCAAGCTGCTTCAGATCTGCTCTTCTTTCCCCAAAGACCTGGAGAACACAAACCCCCTGGCAAACACACCTTGCGTGGGGGCTGTCCTGTCTCCATACCCAGTGAGAGCCTGGGTGGACTCCACCTGCCTCTGCAGGGACAAGGCAGCAGGAGCACATCTACCTCTCCGTGGCCTAGACGCCGACCCCGCCCTCCCCACCCCCCCGCTCCGGCCTGCAGCCCGGCCTGTGCTCCCAGCTGTCCTATGCTGTTGAACCACACCGAGCTTTAATTACGGATTCAGCCGATCGAGTGTGCAGTGTCTCCCATGGACTGGCACTGAATGACGGACTGCGGCATCGTCCTCTCTCCTTAAAGCAGCCCTGGGGGAGCGGAGCCTAGACCTGTGCGTTCAGAACAAAGCTGCGATGAGTGACGCCACGTATGCCTGACTGGCTGCGTCCGTCCCAAATGGGTGCTGGCCACTCTATGGGCACTTGGGACAGATAATGTCCTGTGTGAGACAGCACGGCAGAGAGTCACTCACAAAAAAGCCATCTTAGGGAGAAAAAATGAAAGGCCAAAGGCCCGAAACCCTCTTCTGCACTGGAGAGCCAGCACCTGGGGGCGTGGGAGTGCCAGCGTGTGCTCCGGGCCATCCACCCGGCCTCCCTGAGCCCGGGTGTGGAGGCCCTGCTCTCACCATCACAGACTCGTCCTGCCTTCTTCCCGGAAGTGAGGTGCGGGGAGCGGGCTGGCTATGCTGACTGAGCCCCGGCCGCCGCTGCTGCTTCAGTGCCCGGTAGGCCTGCACGGCCCGCTCTCTCTCCTCCCTGATAATCCGCTGTCGGGCCAGCGACATGCTCAGCGGCTGGGACACGCCGCCAGGGCTCAGAAGCCTCCTAAGCATCAGCGATTTCTTCCCAGGCTGAAGAACAGAGACGGAGCCTGAGGCTCAGTTCGGGAAGGAGAAGGGTAACAAAGGGCCCACGTTGGTCCAACGGCTGGATGCCCGGTGAGAATGTGGGACTCCGTGTGTAGGCCCTGGACCAGGCGGCCCTGGGGGACCCCCAGGGCAGCTGCCCCCACTTACCTGGTCCCGGCCTGTGCTCGTCATGGGCTGGGCGGTCAGCTCTGGGGGCTGCAGAGCAACCTCGCCAAACTTCACTGTGTCTGGAGGGGCAGAGGGGCGAAACTGATGTCTCTGGCCATCACGGTCCCCACAGAGGCCCAGGTGCTCAGGGCCCACAGGACGGCTCCTGGAAGACCTACCTCGGAGCAGCTCCTGCTCCAGCCTCTCTGCTGCCTTCTCTTCCCTTCGCCGCCGGATTCTCTCCAGCCTCCGTTTCTGAAACCTGGGGAAGAAAGCACAACGCCCTTCAGATTCCGCAAGTCTCATCTCACAGAACTCAGAAGGCGGAGGTTACCCCTGCCCAGGAGGGTGCCCCACAGCAGAGGCTGGCAGGCTGCCACCAAGTCCCCAGTCTGGTGACCGCCTCCCCCCCAACCGTGCATGCAGAACCACAGGGCCCATTGGGTTCCAAGGCTGCGTTCTCGGGGGGCAATGGTGCCCCCCGAGCACCTCCGACAGTGTCTGGAGACACTCTGGGTTGTCACAACAGCCGTGGGGGTGGGTAGGAGTGCTCCTGGCATCTCGGATAGAGGCTAGAGGCCCAGCTGTCGTCCCACACCCTGTGCCACACGGAACGGCCCTGCCGCTGACAGTCACTGGCCCCACGTCGACTGGGCCGCTGCTTCTGAAGGGCCTCTCAGGGCAGCACTGTGTTTGAGAGACGGCTGTGGCTGTAGTGCGTGCTTCCACTTTTCTGTGACTTGCTTTTTGTCACTTGGCCTGACCACAAGCACAGAGCGCTCAGAGGCGGGCAGCACCGTGGGGCTGCTGACCAGCTCCCGCTGAAACTTCCGATGAAAACTGGGATCCGCTCATCTCAAACACTGCAGTTGCGGCAGAAATGTCTCGAAAAGCCCTTGTTTGTTGAAACCACCTCCCCGCCCCTGCCCACAGGCCCAGTGAGGTGGCACAGGGCTTCCTTCCCAGACTTCTCCAGGGCTGGGGGCAGGGGCGCTACAGCTGGCGGTGGGCTCCTTCCTGGTGCCGGATGCCACCCTCAGGACCCCTGCAAGGACCCCATTAGGCTCCGGCTGGAGATGCCAGTTTCCCCCCTTTACAGATGAGGCCCGGAGCTGAATGGTCGCAGGACTTGGGTGTGCGGCACAGCTGAAGGCCTCAAACTTCTTTCAGGGCAACGATCCCAGTCGAGGTCCTCGGAGAGATGGTGGCATCAGCCAGTCAGAAGCGGGGGCACCCCAGAGCTGCGTGGGATTTCCCCAGGGGCCAGCAAGCCCTCCTGAGGGACCACCAGCCTTGTCTTTTTCCCCCTTTCTGTTGCAACTAGCCAGGGTGGACAACAGGCCCTTGACCTCACCTGGCTCTTGGGTCCCCTTGATGCTTTCCCAGAGAAAGGGAAAGACGAAGCTAGGCCTTCAGAGTTCCGTGGGCTCAGAGACTCCCTGAACCCCCAGGGTTGAAAAGCTCTGATGTAGAGAAAAACACTCAGCAACGGACCAAGTTTTCACTTCCATGCTCCCCCTGAATCACGGGGTGGAGCTCCCCCAGCAAGGAAACACTATCACTGCAGAGAACGGTCACGGGCTGCTACCCCACCCCACTCACGCTTTCTTCCGCTCTGACTTCTCCTTCTTGGGAGCCGCCTGCGCCTCCGGCTGTCGCGCCACCTGGTTTTTGCTGAGAAAGAGCACATGCTGGGCCTCCTGCTCCATTCGCTGGATGTAGGCGCCGTCAGACTCCCACTTCTTCTGCTTGAATTTGGGGACAGCGATGTCTGGCTCCGCTCCCTTTGCTTCCTTCTCCAATGTCTTCCTGAAGGCCACCTGGGCTGAGGACAAAGGGAGAGGTCAGGGGTGTGGCGCCAGGTTGGCGGCTCAGTTCCCTGCCCAGGGCTATAGGGAAGGAAGACCAGACTCAAGTCAGGGCAGCCCAATGACAGCCGCTGAACGTTCACAATGCCCAGCCCAGGCACCCGTGTGGGTGGGAACCCCCCAGCCCACCGCTGCACATCACAGATGTCCACCATGCCTCGGCCAAGAAAGAAAATAGAGAAGAATCTAAATGTTATTTAATCACCCACGGAGGACTGCTGACTAACTACTCTACGTCCATGGGAAGATTTCACGGCACAAACCCAGGACATTAAGCACGGCACAGAAGGAACGTGTAGCGTTCTCATCGTAAGTATGTGAAAATGAACAGGATGTTCCTCTCGGGCAGGCACGGCAGAACACGAAGGCGGAAGAGGAGGATCCAGAGACAGGGAGAGAGGCTATACCGTACCTCACACCTTCCACCCGTTGGCTTCACCACGTATGTGAGTTTGTCTTAAACATCCAAAAGCAAGAGCCAGCCCAGTAATGCACAGTTCAAACCGGGGCCAGTGTGCACCCTCTCCTCTCACTTTCTCTGCCTCTTTCTGTCGCTATGTCTTCGGCGGTCATATAACCCCCAAAGAAAAGCATGAGGATTACAAAGAAATTATAAAACTTGTATTTGGGAAGACAAATGTATATACACGAAACACCAACATGCCGGACTCCCTTCCCCCAAATGACCCAACTGTTATCTCTGGCACAGGCTGACAGGTGGGCACCCAACCTGGCCTCTGGGTGAGGGGTTGGAAAGGTGAGCTGTTCCGGGGCAGGTGGGGGGGTGGTGTCTGATCAAGTCCCTCCTTAACCTCCAGAAAACATCCACTTCTCTCCCCCAGTTTCTGCACTCCCGTCCAAGAAACGGCCGTTTCTCACTTGCAAGACCTGACCTACCCTGTCCGCTCCCTCAAACCGTTACACAGGGATCTTTTCTCAAAGTCAGTCTGAACCCACCATCCTTTCTGATGGAGCTCCATGGCTTGGGAGGGGAACCAACAATGCTCACAGGAGGCCCTGAAACCACACTGCATCTGCCAACCCCTCGGTGGCCCCGGTGACACCAGGCTTGGTCAGCACTCCACAGCTCCCGCACCTTCAGATCACTGGGCGCGGGTGGATCGCTGCTGTCTAGAGGCCATTCAACACTTCGGCATCTCAGCGGACTGGGGCGCCCGGAGCTGCGCCGCCTCCCGGACGAGCCTGCGGTTACCTTGTCTCCTCCTCTCTCTGTTACTGACGCCACTTCCCATCTCCTGGCGGCTCCTCATGATCTCTCGCAGCCGGAAGGGGATTTCCTGCTCATCCTGGTTCTGGGGCTTGCAATTCACCTGCTTCTTTTCTTTGCTGGGAGCGAGAACAGGAGGGTGAGACGCGCCCCTGGCTCGGCCGAAGCAGAACCCGAGACACCGCAGCTGGGCCTGGAAAGCGAACCTGGGGGGCCGGCCTGGCTGCCGGGGCCAGGCGAGGGAGCATCCTCCCCGGAGACCGCCCGAGCTGGGCTCTCGCAGGACGGTGGGGTGAGGGGCGCTCCCGGAGCCGCAGGAGGGCAGGGACCGCACCCCGGAAGGGGGCCAGTGCCACGCCGGGGACCCTCGCGCCTCCGCTCACCCGGCGATCCTCCCACGCCGCCACGGCCAGACGGAGCGGGGGGCCAGGTAGGGACGGCGGGAGACCCACCTGCGCGGTCCGGGACACGGCGCTGAGCGCGGCGTCCCCCGCACCTGCTGCTGCCGCCCCCGCGGCCGCCCAGGACCCCCAAGCACCGCCGGCCCCACCGGCGCAGCCCCGCGGCGCCCGAGTCGCGCCATCCGCACGCCGGGTGCTCCCAGAGTAAGCCACTTCCGCCCTTCCGCGCAGTCCCGCCCCACGACCGCCATTTCCGCTTCCTGCGCTCAGCTCTGCGACCATTGGGGCGGTGCTGCTCTCGGACGAGCCGGGATTGGCCAGAGCGGCCGCTCCTCACGCGCTGGGGCGGGGGGGGGGGGGCTTGGGCTGCGGCGCGCGTGCGCCCAGGCCGGGCAGTGGGTGATGCTGCTCCGGAGATTGGTTGCGGGAGGCCGGACGGTGGCCGCCGCTGCCCGCGGTCCGGCAAGTACCGGCGAGGCGGGCGCCGGGGCGGGGCGCGTTCGGGGGGCGGGGGCCCGGTAGGGACAGAGACTCCGGGCCCGCGCCGCCTGCTGTCGTTCTGTCCCAGCCCCGGCTCCGCGGCCAGCGCCGCCCCGCGCGGGCCGGCCTGTGTCCAGTCCCTCGGGAGAGCCGCAGTGGACGAGGAGCTGGTGCTCCTCGCCGGAGTTGGAGTGAATAAGGAAGGCAGGGCGGGGGCAGTCAGTATGGAGCGCCCCGGACACCAGCGAGCAGGGGACCGGACGCTGGGGCCGGGGCTGGAGAAGGGGGGAGGCTGCCCTCGCGATCTTTGCGGGGTGAGCTGGAGGAGGACAGGGAAGGAGGGGCGGTGCGTCAGGCAGGATGGTCAGAGGCGAGGCGCGCGGCAGCAGGGGTCGGAGGGAGCCGCCGCTGTGTGACCTGTGTGACCGCAGCCCGCGAGCTTCCACCTGCCCCCACTTCTGCCCAAGGAGGAGGGGTGCCAGGGCGCCCCCCACCCCCCATCTGCGGGGAGTGCACGCCCAGTGCCTGTCCCTGAACCTAGCATTTCTCCAGGCCTGTGTCCACTTTGCAGAAGGGAACCCGAGTCTGCAGATGAAGTAACTCGTCCAAGATCTCCCGGCAGTGAGGAATGGGGGGGCGCCTGCAGCCCCCGCCAGCGACCCGGGCTGAAATTTCCCTGGAGCTGGGGGCGGGCAGGGCTCACCAGCGTGTGTCTTCTCAGGGGCCATGTCGATTCTCCAGCTGGGACCGGTGCCTAAGGCTTCCTGGAGGCGGCAGCGTTCTTAGCAGGCCGCGTGCCTGGGTCCACGCCTGTGAAGGCCACAGAAATTTCCAGAAGGACCCTGCAGAGGAGGGCTCTCAAGCAGGTGCTGAGGGCAGCAGGCCACCCAAGTCGTCCATGCCTGGCAGGGCCGCCCCTGAGCCCCTGTACCCCCCACCGCCTGACCTCCAGCCCCCCACAAACTGCTGCATGAGCGGCTGCCCCAGCTGCGTGTGGGTGGAGTACGCGGAAGCACTGCTGCGGCACTACCGGGATGGCGGGGAGCGCGCCCTGGCTGCCCTCGAGGAGCACGTGGCGGACGAGAACCTCAAGGCCTTCCTCAGGATGGAGATCCAGCTCCGAGTGAGGGGCGGAGGCTGAGCCCACTGGCCCAGCACCCACACCGGCTCCAGCCTCCTCCTCTGTCCTCCTCAGGAAGCATCACGGAGCTTGACCGGTGGCCCCTCGTGTCAGGCTGGACTAGGAGGAATTACCAATTGACTTGATCTGAGAATAAATAAGCCTTACCTGAGGTTGTCAAAGAAAGGGCGTGCGGCTTGCCTTTGAACTTTCATTGAGAGCCTGCAGGTTTGCCCAACTGTGAGTGCCAAGTAAGGTCCATGTCTTTGATGAGCCACGTGATGACCGCCCCCGGAGTCCCCTTCCATGTCCCAGCACCCAGAAGTCCTACCCCAAGGTCCGCTATGGTTATTCTCAGTGGCAGAGGGAGGACTGTCTGGGCCCATGAAGTTGCTGTTGGCAAAGCCCTTGGCCGGTGTGAACACCTGTCGGCAGCCTGGGAAGGCCCCGTTCTTCCAGCTGCTGGGCTCCCTGGGGAGATGCCCACTCACCAGCCAGCTAGAAGGCTGGTGATCAGCCCTCGGGGGTCTGAGCCTCCAGTCCTTCCAACCCACTTAGACATGATGACCCAGGCAACTGACCTAGGGCCTCCAGCACCAGCCCTAGAATCAGCCTCCCAGCGCTAGCCTCGTCCTCAGCTGCAGACCCGGCTTCGGGACCACTCCACCCAGACAGTCCTCCCTCTGCCACTGAGAATAACCACAGCGGACCTTGGGGCAGGACTTCTGGGTGCTGGGACATGGAAGGGGACTCCGGGGGCGGTCATCACATGGCTCAGGAAGAACTTTTTCTTAGCGCCCTCACTGCCAATCCCCGTCTCCTGCTCACCCGCATCATGGATGTTGTCCCAACTTACCTCCCTCCCCCAAAAATTCCAAGTGCCCATACCAGTAGCCTGGATGGGGAAGGAGTTGAAGGGACTTCGTGTTTTCTCTCTCCTCATTTAAAGAAAACACTAAGATTGCAGGGTGAACTCAGGAGGGGTTTGAGCTGATAAACAGGCTTCCCAGGTAGGGGCCTTTAACATAAAGCTGGCGTGTCACATAGAGATGTGTGGGCGAGAACGGAAGCAAAATGCAGGGCCTAGTTAGACACCCGTGGCTCAGGCCATCTTTGTGGATGACCGCGTGCCTTCCAGGAACAGGGTTTATGGCGCCCCACGCCTATTGGGCTGTATCTCACAGAGCATCTCTTTTTTTTTTTTTTTTTTTTTTTTAAGTTTTTATTTTTTTTTTTGACAGACAGAGATCACAAGTAGGCAGAGGCAGGCAGAGAGAGAGGAGGAAGCAGGCTCCCCGCCGAGCAGAGAGCCCGATGCTGGGCTCCATCCCAGGACCCTGGGATCATGACCTGAGCCGAAAGCAGAGGCTTTAACACACTGAGCCACCCAGGTGCCCCACAGAGCATCTCTTTTAACACGGCCTCATGTAGATTCAAAAAAGTCCCAGAAAGAGAAAGCTTTTCTCCAGGGACAACGGCAAAGCTTGGCAGGCTCTGAGGCTCCGTGAAGGTTGGCTTATCACAGAGATGTGGAGGTTTTCCATATTTTTCTCCAAAATGCAGATTTATAGGAGGTTTTCTGTGTGTACCTGGGTACACATACGCATACACATCTGAAGGATCCTACTGAGTTAGCGCTACTGCGGAATGACAGAGTCACAGCGAAGTCTCGTCCCAGCGCAGCCGCTGGCCTTGCTCCCCCCGGCAAGGCAGGCTCCTTCTCCGCGCGGCCCACGGCAGTCAGGGAAGCCCGCGCGGCACCAGCCCAGTCATGCGGCTGCGGGTCTTGGCTGCCCATTGGTTTGTTTCCTAGGCACTGGCCGGCCACCTGTGACATGTCCGGACCTGGGCCAGAAGCTGCAGTCCAGCAGAAGCTCTGCTGTGTTCCACTCCAACGTGGAAGACGGAGGTTAACATGAGCATTATCTGGACGCACAACTCTAGGAGCATGAACGAGTTCTAGCTGCCGTGAGGTCCTGTGAAAGGGCCATCCTGCTCTATCCTGGGGGGTTGCCCTGAGGAAATGACCCTGGGGCAGGGCTCTGAAGTCCTGGGAAGAGGGAGCAGAGCAAGCAAGGAGAGGTGTACCTCACGCCAACAGAGCAGTAGGTGCAAAGATTTTGGGGTGGAAGAAGGGGCCGGGAGCATGGAGAACGAGGCAGAGGGATGAAAGGTGAGGTCCAAGAGGTAGACAGTGGCCAGACTACATGGAACTTTGGGGGCCATGAAGGTGGATGCTTTAGAGGTCAGAGAACTGAAAGTGGGGAGACCCAGGACCTCAGCCAGGACAATTTTTTCATTTCTAAGACAAGCAGCTTGTCTACCCAGCAGTCCGTGATGGCACGTCCCATCCCTGTCCCGGTCCCATCCTCAGCCCTTCCCTCATCTCCCTGAGCCCTTAGGGGTGATGCCCTCCCACCACCCTCCCGAGTGGCCCTGCCAATCTCATTAGTGTCATGTTGGGGGTCATCCTAATCCGCTTACCCAGAGGCAGGATAAATGCCCAGCCGGCCCCCTGCTGGGGGATGCCTGGACACTCACACCCACGGCCTCCTGAGACCTGCCCAGAGCTTGGTGAGTCCTGACCTTCCTCAGCCGCTCTCTTGGCGGCCACTTACCCGGGGGGGGGGGGGGGGGGTCTGTGCAGACGGGGGGGAGTTGGTGGGCTTCTCACCGCCGTGCTGATGGCTGGAGCTGCAGGAGTCTGTCTGCTGTCCTAGTCGGAGGGGCTCCCCACCTGGTCACTCTCAGTTCCCCCATATCTAAGGTTGGTTGTAGGCAGTCCCCAAGGCCAGCAATGGTCTAGTGGACCTTGGGTCATGCACTCTCAGCCAACTTGAGTGGTCCTCAGCCGGAGACGGGACTGTGGCTGGGGCTGCTGGGAGAGCTTGGCTGTGGTTTCCACGAGGCTAGCGTCTGACAAGGAGTTCCGTCTGGGTCAGGGCTGTGCACACTGGGCCCATGACCTGGGACTGGGCAGCCTACACCATCTAAGCTGTGAGGGGTGGGCGTGATGGGGCCTGAACAGCCAGGACCACCAGGCCTGCCGCAGGTCAGCTTGGACCCCGTGTATGTCCTCCCGGGCTGGTGCAGTTTCTGGCAAGGGGCATGAATGTTAGGAAAGATCCGTGGTGGGGTGTGCCTGGTACTGGGCGCCCACCCCCACCACCCAGCCTGCTTCGCCTGCCCGTCGGTCTCAGCCATGAGGCTCTAGCCTGCAGCTGGTGGCAGCCCAAGGCTGGCCTCAGGCACTACAGCCCACAGGACCGGGGTGGCAAAGGGGGCCCACGGGGTGGTGTCGGGGTCTCCTGTCTGCATCCTGTGGTTTAACCCCAGAACCTTCTAGACTCACGGTGGCCCGGAGGGATTAGAGTCACCCTCTGGGGCTAATAGGCTTAGGGGAAGCTGGGTTGCCCTTGAGCAGGGTCAGTGGGGCTTAGGACATCTAGGGAGAAGCGGGGGGGGGGGGGGGGGGCCCCGGGGGGGGGGGGGGGGGGCTCGGGGGGGGGGGGGGGGGGGGGGGGGGGGGGGGGTCGCCCTGTGCAGTGGGTTCACGGACACCAGCAGGTAACACTGGTGCCCAGGGCAGCCTCTTAGCACAGTGAGTGGCTGGGTATTTACCAGCAGAGGGAAGAAACTGCGGGAGGTGGCGGTTGCTCAGCTCAGCTCGGGACTTCTGAGACAGGGCCCTTCCTGCCGGGCACCTTGCCCTCCATTTCTCTTGTCATCCTTCACTGGCACAGCTAGATGCCTGGCATGCTGCCAGGAGTGGGGCCGAGTGTCACTACCCCCAGGAATTGGGGTGGGGTGCGCAGAAGGGGAGACAGCTGAGCGGGGTGCACCTGGGGTCCTCCTGCCCGACCCCAGGTGGAGCCCCACGTGGAGATGGTGGGGGGCCACCATTGAGGTCGCGCTCAGGACCCCCGGGTTTCCTGTTTCAGGAATTTCTCTGTTCTACTGGATTGAGACCTGCAAGGGAGGCAGAAGCAAGGGGGCTGACCGGGACCCCCCCTCTTGGTGTGTCCCCAGCCCACGGCGTGAGGGAGTCTAGAAGGCAGAGTTTGCCGTGGGGTCTCTCCCAGCCTGGCCATGAACCTGGAGCCACCCAAGGCCGAGATCCGCTCGGCCACCAGGGTGACAGGGGGGCCCGTCACTCCCAGAAAAGGGCCCCCCAAATTTAAGCAGCGGCAAACCAGACAATTCAAGAGCAAGCCCCCCAAGAAAGGTGTCCAAGGGTAAGCAGAGCTGGTGGAGGGTGCCCCGCAGGCTACACAGGAAGTGGGGGGCTGACCTCCACACCAGGGGCCTGGGCCACCCTTTCTTAGCTGGGGGCCTGAGGGTCCCCCATTCCTCAGCACGGGCGGTGGGAGGGCTCAGGGACTCCTGTCACCCTCTACCTGTTGCTGCCAAATGGACCTGGAGACCACACCCACGGCCACTTAGGCCACAGCCACAGCCCTCGCGCCCTTGTGTGTCCCTGCACGCACACGCGTAGCCAGGGCACACTGGCAGACACTCAAGCACATGTGTGCTCCCACACACCCCCACTCCCCTCTTCCCGGCCACTGGCCCTGACCACCCTGTCCCGCAGGTTTGGGGACGACATCCCTGGAATGGAAGGTCTGGGAACAGGTATGTCGGCCGCCAGGTTCTTCCCGGGTCCCCCCCCAACTCTCCTGCCTGTCCGTGTGCCTGGGGCCCCATCCTCCCTCTGGTTTTTCCAGCCAGAGCTCACCTAGAGCACCACCCCAAGCCTGTCCTTCTTTCTCTGCCCCAACATCGAGCTTGGGGCCTCCCCGAGGTGGGGCTGTTCGCATTCAGTGGGTTTACTGGATACTTGGAGGGGCTGGAAAGTGACAAGGAGGCCTTGCTGACCCCTCTGTCTCCCTGGCGTGCTACACCCACCTTCTAACACTTGACACCCTCAAGCTGGCATGCCCTGCAGGGGAGGGCTCTCCACCCAGGACTTCCATTCTCGCCACTTTGGGTGCAAACGACAGGGTCTTGGGGGGTGGTAGCCCCTGGGGCCAGGAGCCTCCTGGTGTCAATGTTCCTTCTCCTGCAGACATCACGGTCATCTGCCCGTGGGAGGCATTCAACCACCTGGAGCTCCACGAACTGGCCCAGTACGGCATCATCTAGCACCAGGGCCTGACCCGGAGCCTCAGGGCCGTCTCCCCTGCTGCCCGCTGCGACCCCTGCTCAGGATTCCTGTGAGGAGCCCCTCCCCCACCAAGGGTGTCCAGATTGCCCGGTTTGTGTCTGGAGACCCCTGCAGGGTGGCAACCTCAGGCCCCCAGATGCCAGTTACCAGAAGTGCACCAGCTCCCTGCCAGACACCTCAGGGCCAGGCAGGCTCTGCTCAGCCTCCAGAAACACTGGCCCAGAGATCTTCTCTTAGGGCTGGAAAGCCAGAGCAGGGTCTCCCAGGAATGTTCGTCACAGGCCATTCCTGTCCTGGTGTCTGGTGATGAGAACAAGCTCCCCTCACTAGCCCTTCCCAGCTGCTGCCCTTGGGTTGGGGATGCCTGGGGGGAGTCCTGGCGGTGCCTGAATAACACGCCTCCAAACCCCTCACCGGCAGGAAACGTCCTACCCAACGTAGCCCGCGCATGCTGTCCTGGTTTCAGAATAAAATCCACATGCCGCCGTTCACTCGGCTGGAGTGGGGGGCGGACACGGTCCGAGGGCGAGGGTCTGGAGTGGGTGGTGGGTGGGGACATGGTCCGAGGGCATGGGTCTCCAGCAGGGGCGGAAGGACGAAGGTGCAGGGTGGTGGGGGCAGCAGGGGCCTGGCCAGGCTGAGAGGGAAAGAAACCCACTAGACACTGAGTCTGGGCCCGTGGAGGCTGGGGGTCCATGCAGCCCGGCCAGCCAGGCTGGGAGGCAGCTGCGTGCACAGCCAGCCCCCGGAGCAGGCCTCACCAAGGAGGCAGACGAGGCCCAGCAGCAGCTCACGCCAGAAGGGTGTGCTCGGCTCAGCCTCATGGGAGGAAATAGGTGCAGAGAGATCAGGGAATTCGCTTAGTGGCCCAGCCAGCCTGTCCTTAGCTGCCCACTACCGCTGGCCAGGAGCCCACTGGTGACCCAGCAGTTCCACGCTGGACGCCACACCCGGGGGGCCTGGTGAAACGGTCGCTAGCAGCAGTCGCTGTCTGGGATCCCGCCAAGGGTGTCCGCGGGGACCAGGTGCCTCTGTGGGGCCTGTTCACATGGCAGCGACCGGACAGATTCCCGGGTAGGGCCCTCTGGGATCCCATTCATGTGGAAGCCAGAAAAAGCCATGGTAACCCGAGGCAATGAAGGCCGCTCAGGGTGCCGTGGGCAGGGGGTAAAGCAGCCGTGGCCGGCTCCTTGCCTGGCCAGGGGTCCGTGTGGGTGCACAGAGGGAAGGCTTCCTCAGGCTGCCCACTGAGACAGGTGCCATTTGCCGTAAATGATACAGCTCACCAAAATTTATTCCCGTCAGGGCCTCGCCATCAGCCACCACAGTGGACGGAGAGGGCTGGGCAGCGGGAAGGGAGTGGGGCGGCGAGGGGCACTCAGAGGCTGGGTCAGGATGGGGTCGGAGGCAGGCAGCCTAGGTGTGCGGAGCCGGAGGTTGGAGGCGACGGTCAGGGGTGTGAGTTGGAGTTGGGGGCTCGACAGCAGGCTTGCATCCGGCCCCGAGAGCCCCATATGCTCTGGGCAGCCGTGGCATCCCCTGTAGGAGGCGGGCGCTGGCAGGGGCGGCTCACGCAGGCCACGCGGGGTTGGCAAGTGCTCCGTGGTCGAGAGCAAAAGTCTCCGAGAGAGTGAGGTCAGGTGGCGGAGCAGGGACTCGTTCTCGCAGGCCCCAACAGAACTGGGAAGGAGGTGGACATGCCCTACCCTCTGGGAAAGGGACTCCTGGAGGCGGGAGACCCAGCAGGGTGAGGAGGCCAGAGTGTCTGAGATGCAGGACGCTTGCTCGGACACCTTCCCTGGGGGTCCCACGGGGCTGTCAGCCCTGGGCCAGTTTGGCGGGGGGCCTTTTTGTCCCTGCGGTTCTGGGGCTCCCTGCCACCCCCTGGTGGACAGCCAGGGCCCTCGCCAGCCGGGCCGCCAACAGAAGCTCCAGGCCCTGGACGACCGCAGTGGCGACGGCCCAAGCCCCCGCAGCCTGGACGTTCCCACGCAGCCACCCTCGGAGTGCAAGGCCACAGCCCTCCAGGTGCACCCGCCTCTGAACGGCTTCATCCGGGCCCAGAGCTCCGAAGCCGCACGGGTCGTGGCCAGCTGCTCCGTCTCCCCCGGGGCGGACGCAGCAAGAGGCCGGGAGGCCGCAAGCCTGGGCCCCCGCGGAGCTGCAGTTAAAGGACCTGCAAGGGAACATGCGGCATCGGTCCCCAGGGCAGGGCCCATCATTCCGGGCCCCGGCGCTGAGGAAAGGTCTCTCACCGACCCTCCCAACGTCCACAGCCACACACACGTGCACACACAACAGCCAGCTTCCTGTGATCCAGGGGGAATCACCAGTCCAAAGTCACACTCAGCCCACAAACAAGAGCACCCATGTGGATGCTTCCAGAACGCTGGCATGTTTCAGTGACTACTGGGTGCGAGAGGCCGGTTTTCAAGTCTCTGTGTGACCATCTCTTGTGGTCGGTTGTCCTCCAGCAGAACGTAGACGATCCCTGCCCAGTGTCCCTAAATAGACAACACTTACACACCACACACACACAAGTGCACACACACACGCGGACACACACAGACACACTCAGAGACACACGCACACACACGGGGACACACGCGCGGACACGCACACGCACACACAGACACACATGTGGAGACACACGCACACAGACGGACACACCCGCAGGCACGTGCACAGACACGTGTGCACACGCATGCAGACACACTCGCGTGCAGACAGACACATAATGTGCACACGCGCACACACAAGCATGCACACGCACACACAGGCACACAGATACATTCACACACAGGCACGCACTGACACACACGAGAGCACACGTGCAGACACACGCAGACATGCAGGCGCACGCAGACAAGCGCACGCACACACGCACGCACACAGAATAGACACATAGACACACACGCACACACATGCACAAGCAAGCACACGCGTGTACACACAGATGCTTACACACACATGCTGTGGAGGGAGAACTGTGGAGTCCAGAACAATGTCCCCATTTAACTTAAGTGCATGTGACGTAGAGATGTGCAGTGTGACGACCTTACCCAAAACACTCCCCAAGGTGTCTCTAAGTCTGCCGGCTCAGCTTCTCCATGATGATCCCTGCCCACCTTTCCCTGGTTGGAGGGGGCAGAAACATGCGGGGGGCCCGCGTGTGTGCACGGGCATGTGTGCACACAGTTGTGTGCGTGTACAAATGAGCACGTGTGCGAGTATGTCCGTGCGGTCCGGTCGGCTGGCCGCCGGGGACGCCCCCCTGCCCCGTGGGCTCTGGGACTCACGGGTTCCGCGTCCAGTCCCGGTAGGAAGACACCCCGCAGCACTGCAGCCCCAGCTGGACCTGGTCAATGAGGAAGCGCAGGTCCGCGTCGTCCTGATAGTGGGTGATGGCCGCACGCAGCATGGGCTCCAGCCCGTCCTGCAGTGGGCCCCAGAGGGCCACCAGCAGGGACCCCACCACTGCCTCCAACGCCAGGAAGGCGATGAGACCCCCGGAGAAGCAGCGCAGCAGGCAAGCATTCTCGCAGAGGGCGCCCAGGCAGCCCGCCAGGCTCACAGCACTGACCGCCAGCCCCCCCAGCGCCAGTCCCAGCAAGGGGTCTTCGGGCAGGGCCGCTCCCCCACTCCCCCGCAGAGACCCCTTGACAGCCAAGCCCCAGAGCCCGAAGGCCAGAGCCAGTGCACCAAGCAGAGAGAAGAGGAAGTTGAACAGGAAGATAAGGTATTTCAGGCAGCTGCTTCCCAAGGGGAGAGAGGAGGCCAGGTCTCCCCCAAGGCCTGCCCTCCAGACCTGGTCCTCTTGGGGCGCCTGGCGGCTTGCAGTGAGTGGGCTGCTTGCGGGGAGGGGCTCCTCCTGGCCCAGGGCGCCCTGTGGAGGAAGAAGGAGCACACAGGGAGACCTCTGCGGCAGGATGGGATCATCAACAGGGAGGGTCACCTCTTCGAGGCTGGGGTCAGAGCCTGGCAGCGGGGAAGAGGCTGGACAGTGGACAGAGAAGGGAAGGCTCGCAGACCCGAGATGGCTGGGGACGGACACGGCGGCCTCCAGGCTTATCTCCCGGCTGGGCAGCCGGGGGATGGGAAGGCCTGTCTCCTGCAGAATGGAGGGCTGCACCCCGCTAGCTCGCGGTAGAGACTAAGTGAGGCAATCTTGGGAAGCAGGCGTTCCAGGAACACACGAGCGTCCGCGATCCCCTCTGTGTGAGGGAGGACGTGGGCCCCGCAGCTCAGGCACATGGCAGGCGGTCTGAACAGCATCTGCATGGGTTGGGCTGTCTATGCAGTCCAGAGAAGGGCCCCCCCACCAGGCCCAGGAGGTGGAGGCCCCCCTGGCAGAAGGGCTGGCCCCTGTCCTTCCTTCTTCCCCGACTCACACCAGCCCTAGCATCGCAGAACCCCACTCTCTGAGCACAGACTCAGGGCCAGGCCAGCCAGGCTCCCAGGGCAGACAGAAGGACGGCCAGGAGACCAGGGCTCTGTGGGAGTCAGGGCCTCCCTTGCCTTGCCCTCCAGCCGGACGCTCAGCCACGCCCTGGGCACTGGTCACACCAAGCGTGGGAAGTAAAGAAGTGCTGACCTAACCCCCCACTTCCCAGAGGAGTGGCTCATGGATCGGAGATTTGGAGAAGCTGCTGACTCTGCCCCACTTTGTCCCTTCACGGACAATCTCCATTTCAGATCTGCCTGCCCCCACCCCCCACCTTCTCCACCTGCAGGCAGATGTGGGATGCACTTCTGTTTGCTCTCTGCTGGAGGGAGAGTCTGCCCTTGAAATCTGGGAGGATTAGGAAGCTGTGGCCCCTGCTGAAAAGACAGTCCCCTGGGCCACACCTAGGCAGGGCCTCCCTTCCAAACCAGTGTACCAGGAAGAGGCTGCCCTCTGCTCCCCACATCTGATTCTGCCTTGAAACCTCATTCACTGTGAACTTGGAGGGGAGGAAAGGGGCACTGATCAGCCCCCCAGACCCCAACAGTCAGTGGGAGCAAAAGGACAGGCTGCTGGGCCAGGCTGGGGTGTGGGGGGCTGGGTCCGCCAGAGGCGGTGGGCAGGTGCCACAAGGTTATGGCACTGCCAGATGCCCAGAGGGGTGTCAGGATGGCCCCTCCCAAGCCCGAGCTCACTGTCTTGCTTCCAGACCGCAGGCTGCAGTGGGGAAGGGGCGAACCAGCAAGAAGGCAGAGAGGTCATGGGCGGAGGGGGAGGGCAGGAGAGGCGCTGAAGGCCCCGTGGGCACATCGCCTGGGTGTGTGCTTTTCTCAGAGTGAGCGTCCCCCACACCCCCTCACACACACGAGGGGAAGGAGTTGTGGCAAGGTGCTGGGTGAGGATAAAGCTCGGGATTAGTGAGACCCCCCTCCCGCCCTAATTTTACCTCCTTGGGGGGCGGGGGGGCACCGACCGGCCAGCCCAGCACAGGCCAAGGCTCAGGGTGGAGCTTGGGGCCAGGGTGGGTGAGAACCTGCCTGAGGTCCT